CTGTACTTACTATACTTACTATACTACTATACTACTATACTGCTATACTACTATACTACTGTTTTACTATGTCTTTATTCCACAATGTCAACCACTCTCCGCTATCTGTGAACAATGGTTGATACAACCATACAACAATAGTTGATACATCATAAATATAGTACAGAGTATCTAAAATGTATTATTTCAGTAACTATGTCAATTCCGAACGAGTGAATTCTTTGTCGAAAATATGAATTCGAAAGTTATCAAAGGTCTCTTTGTAAGCGGAACAGTAGCGATCCATCATTTCTTCGATGTCCCTTCAACGTTCTGTCAGAAAATCGTTTCAAACCTCTGTCTTCACCCGAAATAATTGAGAGCGTGCCAGAATCTGATCTGTCAGGTATTTGCGTCGGACTTTGAGCTAATTGTAACGTTTCAACGAAACTGGCACACGGTTATTTCTATGTGGTGATAAAAATAAAATGAAATTAATTGATTGATGGAAATTTGTGGAATTTAGGGGATTTGGTAATCTAAATCGTGAAACTGAGGTTGAGATTTAAAACTTTAAACAAGTTCCATTCAGAAATTTAAACTATTATCCATGAATCAAAATGCGGAAAGTAAATGCTAAAATTTGTAAAGGTAAATGTCTTAATTGTTTTAAAGACGCTTCTCCTCCGACGCTACAAACGATCGCTTATTGTGCACGCTAATTACAGCAGCATTCGTCGAAAGGCGTGTATTAAGAAATTAAAATGTAAATCTCGAGCGAATAAAATGAATGAAGTTGAATTTAATCGTTACATAAAATGGTAATCAGCCACGGTGAATCTGTTATCGCGTTTTTTGCCTATGAAAACCGCATTCTCGTTGCAATTCAAAGTGCAGTTAACAGATGCGACAGAGAAACACTCGTTGCATAATTCTCCGTATCGAAAACGTGTGAACGTGGTTTCTTCTCGTCTGCTTCCTCTTTTCCTTTCATCGAAATCGTTAAATTGACGAGCCTCGACCACTAGCAAGCGTTAAATATTCAATCCTTTATGAATTATTCCTTTCCGAAGCATTCTTGCGCAACTTCTTCAAAGCTTTACTGCTCGTGAATTAATCAATGATGAAAGTGGAAACTCGTTCGGGGAAATTTTTCCTTCTATTCGCGCGTAAACTTGTCCTTCAATTTTTTACTTCTGCAAATTGTGCGTTTTGGGTCATTTTGGCTCGATCAATGTATAATATTCAGGACTAATTAGTGCAACGTTCAGATCTTCAATTCAGAATAGAAAAAGTTCTGTCAGAGATGCTAACATATCTATATAAACACTGTCGATCAAAATATTAGGACCTTGCAGCGTGTCCTATGGACCATATGTACTGCAGACAAACCAGGAGCTGGCGCATAGGAGGCGGACCCAGGAGCACCCATGGCCCCCATTGGTCAGAATAGATAAATGGCCTTGCACGTATTTTCGGTATTGGTTCCGTCACTAAAAATTCATACAGAACATGTCATTTAAGACGTTACGTTCTGTCAGAGATGCCAACACATCTAAATGAACACCGTCGATCTTTCAACGTGTTAGACCTTGCTACATGTCCTGTGGACCATACTGCAGTCAAACCAGGAGCCGGCGTAGGCTGACCCAGTAGGACTATCCCAATTGGTCAGAATAGAAAAATGGCCTCACACGTATTTTCGCCGGTATTGCTCGCGCACAATTGAGTGAAAGAACAAGTCAGGCAAACGTTTCGAGTAGTCACTATGGAACGTCACATGGGACTGTTCTACGGTGGGCGTCCCTTAAACCTGGCTCCAACGCGCCAGGAACAGGGTTGTCTACAGTACATACCGTAGTCGAGCCAG